CCAGGCTGGATGAAGCCCTGGACAGCCTAGTCTAGCACTTGATCGTGGCTGGCAGCCCTGCCTGTTGGCAGGGGCATTGGAACTTGATGAGCCTTGATTGTTGACATCCCTTCCAACCCAAGCCATTCTATGATTCTATGAGAAGATCTAGTTCTAAATCCATGTTAACTGCTCTTTGATTCTCAACAATTTTTATTTTTTAGAGATCTGTTTACATTTTAATACGCACAACATTTAAAAATACAAGAAAGATTCCCCAGTGCATACATTTTCTTACCGCTGTCTTCCCTGGTAAACTTCATGGCTTCCCCTTGTATGAAAAAGGCACATCATTTGTCATATGATTCTGGTTAAAGGAAAAAAAAAAAATAAATAAAAAAAGGAAAAATATATGTAAAATTAAAAAATATTTAAAGTAAAAAAAAAATGAGAGCCCAGCAACTCTGGTGACCTTGTCTGAGAAGCTGCTTATTAACTACCCTGTATTATCACAACCACATTGCCAGTGCTGTGGCTGACAACAAGAATGCAGTGCACTAGGGCTTGCCAGTGCAGCCTCCAACTTTCTGAACGTCTATTTGCAGAGCCTTCTTGAGCAGACCCTGCAATGTAGGAGAAAGCACTTTTGAGGGCACTGCTCAGCATGCAGCATTACAGGATCCAGCCTGCTTTCAGTTGCCATTAACTTCAGACTCATGTTTGGCAAGTGGACTAAATACTTTAAACTGGTGTTAAAGATGTTGGTTACTAAATAGAGGCACAAAACTGCTGGTCTTCACTGAAATGAGGGTTTCTATTAAGTGAAACAGGAGGCAGTGATATGTAAATCTAGTGTCTCACTCTTTATGTAACATCAAAGTGTATTTTAACTTCAGGAAAATAAACTAATCCTTACTGAGCTTAGAAATTATAAAATATGCCTCAAATAAAAGCCAGCCTGGGAACTAGTAATTACTGTGCAAATCTTAGGGAATGAATGTGACACTCTTAGATTTGGATGCCATCTATTGCCTTTAGGGAGGTGCTTCTACCTGAACGTTACTAAAAATTCTCCAGAAACATAAATATCATTATGATAAAGAACTTCCAAATTTAATGCCATTTATAAGTTTAACAGCCCCATTTTTCTACCTGCCAACTCTGTGAATTCACCTTGGACTTTAAAGCCTAAAAATAACCTTTCTGTTTCTAAATATACTGTTTTTTTCTTTTCAAGGCACACTTCATAAGTGGAAGCAATTTCCTATGCTTGCTGAAATAAAAGGTAGAGCTAGTTGCTTTGGACAAAAAATGGCTTGGGGAATGCACTCTTTTTGCTTGTGAATAGATGCAGAGCAAGAAATCTGCAGAAAATGTTGCACAGGAACTGTGTAAACAATCATCCAGACGCACAGGATAAATTGGTTGCTCTGGTACTGGCAAACTTCATCTCTCTGCTGTACACTGAATTAAATTAAAAATATTAATTTATTCACTGTGAAAGGTGATTAAAATATGAAATATCCAGACCATAAGAAATCCTTGTTTTGCTACCCTTCTTTCTCTTTCATTCCTATGGGTATTGAGAAGTTTTTCAAGCTGGTGCAGCACCTCTGCTGCCTTCCACTGCATCCCCAGAGTTTCATGTGCTACAGTTGACTGCTGACAGCAGTTACAGCCATGTTTAGACTGAGACTTGGTACAATCTTAACAACACTGCAATGTCAACTGAGGAGCTGAGTAGCACTGCAAGACATTTCAATCTTAATACCACTGGCTGTGGCACAATAAAAAGTGGTGCTCCTTGATTTATTGCAGGCCATTTTACAAACAGTGTCCCTATTGAAGGGCTAGAAGAAATACCTTTTTTTTAAAAAAAAAAAAAAAATAAATCAATTTAAATAGTATGTATATTCAGCTTTTTCTGTTAGAGATTGGTTCCTTCTGAAAGTTGTGCTCCCGTGATGCTCACACATCACCGTGAGTGCAACAAAGACTGTACTGGGGCCTAAGGCTTGTTGAGTTTCCTTAGCTGTTAAACTAAAAGAACAAATCTGTAATCCATAACTCCAAAAAGCACCATCCTCTAGGAATCAGCGCAGCAACTTACTGTTGAACCTTGTTGTACTGCGGAACTTAAAGAAATCCAAGAAAACGGCAGATAGCAATTTCCAGTAAGCCACAATAAACACCAAGTCCTGCAAAAACAAGCCAGCTCCTTTTAACAACATGGAGAACAAATTCTTCTTCCTGCTCTGGAATTCCTTCTTGTTCTCTGGTTCGCTAAACAGCCTGATCCCCTGAGATGTGTGTGGGAGGAAGTGGGAGTGGATTTACTGTGTTTGCTTTCCATCTCCCTTCCCCCAGTTCTGGATGCAGAAGCCATTGGGATGTCTGCCAGGAGCAGTGAGCGGGACCGCCTCTGAGTTTTCACACAAATTCCAGATAGAGTACAAAGTCTTTATTCTTTAAACAGTGACACAACATAACCACTGCCTTCTCTGGGCTGCCTATTCAGTTAATTCTGTGCAGATCCATGTAAAGCCTGGCACTGCTCAATTGCAGTGCCTCCAAAATCCTTCAAAGGATTACAAAATCAAACTTGGAGTCCTGTGGTCTTATTTCTTCTACCCTGCTTTCTGACCTCTCAAGCAGGATAAGAGGACTGGCTTGTCCTCCCCTTCTTCTTTCATGTTGTCTTTTCTTTCTCTTTGCATTTTCAGGTGAGCTAAACCTACCTGCACTGAAGATATTAAATGAGATGTCTTTCCCAGGAACTGAAGGTAAAGTATTCCCCTTCCCCACATCCACTTCTTTCAGAAGTCAGATCTGTTGTGATGCACTTTATCCTTTCAAAGATCTTGAGCAATGAGAGAAACACGTTTCTATTCACTTGCTGACATTCCAGCTCCTCTGGTCCCTTGAGCACTGTGAGTGCCAAAGTTAACATTGTACTCGAGATATATTAGCAGGGGTCAAGTGAAGCAGTTTAAACAAGCAGGTTAATATAATACATTGGAAGGGATAGCTTTGGCTGGAGAAAGATTTTTGTTCATCTCCTCGAACACATGGCTATGTTTGGTTATCCTTGTAAGACGTAAGTTGTCACATTTGTCTGCTTTTGCAAAAACCTATTTGAAGATAATACTTGTTTAGTGCAGTTACGTAACAGCTTGCAATATTTCTGGTGCAAAGCTTTCCCTTGAAAAATTGTCTGTCTTGAAAATTACCCCATACTTTGAGAAAGGTGTTTCTTTAAAAGTTCCCAATGATTTAAGTATTAATTTACATCTGTTTGGTCCAAATGATGACTAAACTTTTCTCTCAGCTTTTCTAGGCTGCTTCCATTGTCCTTACCATGAGATGACTACCAAAGATGTGCCCATGCTGCTGCTGGCTTGTCTGTAAATATAAAAAAAAAAGAAAAAACAAGCTTTGAATTTTCTTCTCATTACAAATCTATTTCTGGAAATGGAAGGGCATTCTGCTTGTATAGCCCTTACATCCTATTACTCACTAGTATGTTAGTGCCCCACTGCAAAGGTAACAGCTGTGATTAAGTATTGTCTTGAGCACAACTAAGCTTTGAACCAAGACCTTTTATAAGAAAGAAAAAAAAAACTTTATAGCAATGAAGCAGAAAGGACATTACATTTCCATACATTTTGAGCCCTGCACTATTTCCTCCTTTTCAGTTTTTGGAATTTTTTCACTGCACCAAAGCACAGGGAGATATTTTTTCCTCACTACTGCAAATTCTCTGCCAGCAAAAGCTTAATTTTGAGTCACTGGGTGCTTTATACTGGCACTCTATTTTTTCTCATGTCTGGGTACTAAAAGGAAGTGCAGGCGTTCATACATCCCCTTATAACCTTGACAAATTTTCTGTAGTAGTAAGGAAACAACAGATTGAAATGACACTACCGAAATTTGCATCATCTCTAAGAAATGCTAATGAAAAAACACTGAGATAAGAAAAATGAAGCAAATAGACTGGCTGAGCAAGTAAAATGTTTGCAGGGGCAGCTGTAAGGGGAGAAAAAAAAATATCTGCAAAATCTGTAAACAATCACTTTCTGTTAACTCACTTCAAAACCTAATTTCTGTACAGAGTTTTAGCAGTATGCTTATAATAAAACCTGACTTCATATACATCCTGTGAGGAACAGTCAATAGTACAGCTTAAAGCATTAAAGTCTCTGCAATTTCACTGCAATCTTCAGTACAGTCATGTGCCTCCATAGAAAGCCTAGCTAGGGTCATACCACTAGGTTTTTGCTTGCTTGCTTGCTTGGTTCTTGTTTTCTTTTAAACTAGAACTGGCTTGATCCCTTCTTAGGAGCTATGGTTTGTAAATATAGGCATATGACTGCCAAATATTTTAAACATTAACTCTTATGAGCTTCAAAAGGACCACATTTTGCTGACTATGAAACAGTGCATGGTATTTATCCAAAACATCTTTATTGGCAACTTTTATACAATAAAACTACTGTATGCCAACATAATCTGCATCAGGACCTCCTACTGAAGAGCAAATTGCTTCCCTCTTCTTTGTCACTATTGCAGAGTTATACTGGTCTTCAACATTTCCAACTTCATATGTTTTTGTGATATGTGTTATTGTCAATCAAGTAAAGTTGCATGAGAACTATCCATGACAAAATCACAATCACTCAACATCTCAATAATACTTCTGCAAAGATGATAGAAAAATGCAGAAACCAATAACAACAAACTGCTATGTTGGATAGAGAATGCCCATGAATCATAGACCACAGAAGCACAACTGCAATCATACAGAGATTTATCTAAGTCAGCATGACATACTAGGGTTTCTTCGGAGTTCTCCAAATTGTCCTGCTTGGGCAGGCATAAACTAGACAGAATTTAGGCATATCCCTCTACAGCTGTCTCTTAGATCTAAATCTGTAAAAAACTGTCTCCACTCCAGTCCTTTACCACACCGGACAGGATTTCCTTAAACCTTTGTTTAGTGGTAAAGAATAAAAGAGTAAATCTCAACTCAAAATTACTTTATTTTCATTCACTTGGCTTGCAAGACAAAGGACATGATTATTTTCTGAACGCTTGGTCAGCAAAGGACTCAGCGCCAAAGGACATGTTAGCAGTATCCATCTCACAAACTCTGTGTGTTTTCACCTTCTTTATCACACCAACAGAATGGGAACATCCCACAACAGGGCTGCAGCCATGGCTTCCAGATGATGTTGTACCTGGAGAGCTGCTGTGGGACTGCAGTCAGTGTCCTGCGGTGCTCTTCAGTGGCTCTCCCAATCCGCTCGATTACAGTGTCAAAGAGGGGCTCAGTGTCAGCTGACAGAGGCTGGGACTCAGAAGGGTCTCGTGAGAGGTCAAAGAGCAGTGGAGGGTCATGATGGGTCACGCCTTCCCCAAAACATGGGCAAATTCTTTTTCCATAACAAGCCCCAGCCCCGAGTGGATGAAAGACTGGGGTCACATAATGAGCCTTCCAGACAGCTCCACCTGTCAGAAAAGAAATCTTATGGCACAACTACAAGACAGTAGAGGAAAAGATGAATTGTCTTCAAGCAGTGGTTGCTTACTAAGGAGACATCTTGTCACAAACCCTGGCTTTCACATCACCACAGATAACATTCTCTGCACCAAGTACTGAGTTTAAAGATAGAAAACAGTGAAGAAGATGTATCAGGCTTCAAGTGTAGTAGGCAGCCAGCTTCTATTTCCATCCCACTTCCTATAATGCATTTCCTTTATTACTTACAAGTATTTTTTAGCTGTAAGACAGCTCCAGCTAGCGAGAATTACTGGTATATAATGCATAACAATTTCAAAAATCTCAGAGATCAATACAGATAAATGTCATCATGCAAGAAATCCGTCATACATCAAGAAAGATATCAAGAGAAGAAATCTCATACCATGGTTAACAGGAAACGTTTACACTTACTGTCCTTTTGGTGCCATCGCACTGCATGCAAGTAGGATCCGCAATAGTGAAAGAGAAACTTATGCTCTGACTTTTGAGTTCTTCCTTGGAGTAAAGGCATCAAGTTTCGTCCGTCGATTACCCTAATGTAATGAATATTCAGGAAGGGACAAACCTGACAGAGTTAACTGTATATTGTCACAGCCAGCAGATTGTCAGGCCAACATTTTAAATCCTTTAGACTTTTTTAATTTATTGAGTTAATTCGCTATTTTCAAAATATATGGAGAAACTTATTCCAGTTAGTAATACATACACAGTATTTAGGGTTTGGTCTACTGAAATAATATTCTTTATTCAGACAAATTGATACTGATCTCATAATTGTTTATATATAGCAAATTCAAAGGAGTTTGTAGAAACCTTTTGAACAAGTATGGGCTTCATGTTGTTAGGAGGAGTCTGTATGTGTCCATAGCTTTGGTAATTTGATACCAAAACAACTTCAGCCATCAATTCTTTCCTGAGCAATGCTGAATTTTGTTTAGAAATGAACAAGACCTGTGGCCACATGCATACCTGTGGGCATATCCAGGTGTGTATGGAGAAGGGAGGGAGGGTTGCTTTTGAGTTTAAAATCTTAGACTGGGTTTGAGACTACAGTATAGATGGGAGATCTCCTTGGATTATTAAAAAAAAAAAAAACCCAAAACACTGAAATTATTTAGTTGATAACTCTCCTTTCAATTTCTCCTACTGAAAATATCTCCATACCTGTCCTGTGGCAATATTCCTCCAGCCAGATGAACAACCGTGGGAAAAATATCCATCAGACTCGTAGGTTCATTGATAACAATGCCTGCAGGTAACACTCCTGGCCACCTGAATATTCCTGGCACACGGATCCCTCCTTCCCAACCTCCCATGCCTTTTCCACCTGCAGTAAAATTAAACAATATACAGTTCAGAGGCAAACTCACAAGGAAGTATTCACAGAGGCAGCAGACACAAGAGTGAAGAAATACTCGATACTCTGTTTAAATTTACACAAAACTTAAGAATTACAATATTACCTTAACAAACAGCTCTAAAAAATATTTATTCTCTTTGTAGCCATGGATTCCCTTCAGAATCATAGAATCATAGAATGGCCTGGGTAGGAAAGGACCTCAAAGATCCTACCTGCTATGTGCAGACTCACCAACCAGCAGACCAGGCTGCCCAGAGCCACATCCAGCCTGGCCTTGAATGCCTCCAGGGATGGGGCATCCACAGCCTCCTTAGGCGACCTGTTCCAGTGTGTCACCAACCTCTGAGTGAAAAACTTCCTCCTAATATCTAACCTAAACCTCCCCTGCTTAGTTTAAAACCATTTCCCCTTGTCCTATCACTATCCACTCTCATGAACAGACACACCCCCTCCTGTTTATATGATCCCTTCAAGTGTTGGAAAAAAATACATGCTTTTAATACAGAAATATTTCCAAATGCCTTAAACATCTTTTGTATTTTTCAAATTGAGATTTGGATCTGACTTTCCTAATGCAGTATCTCTAAACTCAGAAGCAAAAAATCTGAACTATGAAATCAAATCATATACACGTTACTTAAAATGACAGCAAAACACCTTTTCCCAGCTTGCTACTAACGTAAACTAACACAATACAGCATCTTGATACCAGAGATGAAATAAGGAAAGAGATGGAGAACAAGCATACTATAAATAAGACCTTCTCTAAGAGCCAGCAACCATTGCTTGGCATCAAAACATTCACCATGTGGGAGCCAAAGTTCCATGCCTTAGACCTCTGCTGTGCCCTGCAGAAAAGCTCAAGAAGGTTTGTAATTGGAAAAAACCTGTTTTAGGAAAGTAAAAACAAGAGAAGTTTGGGCAAGAAGTGGATGGTTCACTGGTGGTAAGAGAGCCTAAACCCTGAGTCCTGTCCAAGCACATGCTCATGGCAGAACACAGGAGGAAGTGATTTAGTGATTCAGTGTTGCTGGGGCAGATGGGAGAAAGTGCAATGAATGCATATCTTGTGGCTTTAAAATTCTACTGCACTGCTCAGGAAGCTGTAAGTTGCTGTAAGTCATAGCACAATGTGTCCTTACCCTATTTCATATCAAATAGGCAATGATTTCTGGAAATAATGAGAAGAAAAAAAAAAAAGTAAATCAGGAACAAACATATTTGTGGCCTAGCAGGGGAAAAAGAGGACCGTTAAAGGGATCTATCACATTTTATTCAGGGCTTTTTGCTTGAGAACACCGAGTAGTTTACAGGTATCAAACTGTATAGTACTGTTATCAAAGAGATGTGTAAAAATGCTTACATTTTACTGAAAGAAAAAGTAAGATTAAAGCACCTATGTTTGTTGCCTGTATTTCAAGCCAGAAAACAACGTAACCCACTCTAGCCTTAACAACGTCACCTAGGTTACATCATTGTGTTTGTATTTTTAATCAACATGTAAAGCTGTATTTCATTTCTTACCTTTATAAATGCCATTCCAGCCACCCATCTGGGTAGAACCATTCTGAGCTTCCAAGTGTCCTCCATGATCAGAGGTAAAGTATGTAAATGTATGATTTTTCAGACCTTCCTTGTCAAGCAAATCTAAAATTTTGCCTTAAATTTAAGAAGAGAGACATCAGGGTTCCAATTAAGCAGTTAGAAAGATCAATCCACACGTATAACATTTTGATGATCTTTTGCAATGTGTTTTGAGAAGGTTTTAACAGCATAGATTGCTGTGGATACCTGGCTTTATTGCTTCTCTTGCTTTAAAACACACAGATATACATATCTGAAACAAATCCCTCATCAAGGATACTTACCCACCATCCAGTCCATTTCTTCTACATTGTCTCCATACAAACCGTGATGGCTTTTCCCAAGAAATTTCACTGTGGTGTAGAGAGGTGTGTGAACATGAAGAAAGGAAACAAAGAGAAGGAATGGTCCATGTCTGTTTCTTAAAAACAAAGAAGCATAATTTTTGCTGTGCATTTTAAATATTTTGGAAGATTTCATATTCATCAATGCACAGACACAAACAATCGGTCTATACTGTGTCCACATACATTGCAACCCCATTGATCTTAGTTTATTGTTGCTTTCTTGCATGAAATGTAGACAAGACAGATAGGTTTTTAGTCAGATTCCCATGCGTAAACAGGCATGGCACTCGTGCAGTGCTTTTAAGAATCAGCTGCATGTCTCTGATTCTTTTTTTAATTAAAAGCAATTGGAAATAGTTTTATATTTACCTAGATTGACATGGCTTTTCTAAGATGGCCATTAAAGTTTTTCAGTATATATGTTTAAATATACTTTTAAGAAAAGGACAGTTACTCTCCCTGTTTTACAGAAAGACATCCGGCACACAGAAATATTTATCAAGGGCTGTATAGGCCAAAGAGGAACTTGAAGCTAGTAGTAAATTAATGCTGTTAGTCAGCTTCCTTCTCAAGTGTTCGAATGACATGAAAATGGAGCCAAATGTTTTGAGATTTTCACATGGAATAATTTTGTGCATCATTCCCCTTTTATCTCATGTTTTATTAAGATTATGAGAAAAAGTACAAATGGGGCTTGCAGAGTGACATGTAAGAATTAGCTGGTCAATAATGGAAGAAATTTATTATTTACAGATTACAGTGTATAGTGAGGTGTTTATGTATAATTTGGTGAAATCTTATTCGTTGTCTTTTTCTACGTGGGTAACTAAAATTTAAATTTCTAAATAAAAAACTTGGCTATGACTTTTAAGAAGTTATATTTTTAAAAGCTATATGGCTATAGCTAGAGTGGAAAAAAATACCCTATTCCAAGAGCCCAGAGCCTCCTATCACTTTTAAAGAAAACTACAGACAATCATTTTACCTTTTGATAAATGACATTGCCTCCTTCAGCATGAGGGAAGCAGTCCTCTCTAATCTCATTGGCTGCTCAGTGATATCATGGTTCCTCATTAGGATGCAGTTCCAACGCTGCACAAAGCCATAACTGGAGTACCAAGAAATGAAGAAAAGGCAGCCTGCCAACGTGAAACAGGCAATTATCTTCCAGCGGATGGAAACCAAACCAGTCAGTCTTCCAGCAGCAAGAGTAAGCACAGCAAGGGCAATTATCTGACTGTAAAGCCAAAGCTTGTCTTGAAGGGCTACATCCATATCTGGAGGCTTGTTTTCTTGACAGTTGCTTATAAGTGTAAAAGGCATGCCATAAAAGTAGTCAAACCCATGATTTAATGGATGGTGACAATGATCATTGAAGGATTCACAGTTTACACCTTGATGCCACTTTCCTGAAAGTTTTAAAGCATGAAAAAAATCAGAACATTTAACTGGACAACTTGAACAGATGCTCAAGTAGCATTGCAAGTACTTCCTTGGGAATTTGGTGAATCAAAGCAACAAAGTGCACAAGCAGGCAGGATGAAACCAGTGCTTGATGGGTAAATGTTGTGTCCTAATGTGCGAACCCCAAACGGTCACACAATAAAAAGAGAAATCTGCAAAATGGCCAGGTCAGGTACTGGAGTGATGAAGGTTGAGGATGGGATTTCAATTGCTTTTCAATGAGGATCAGGGGATCATAGTCTCTAAATCACCAGCTGCTTTCTTTAATATACCTCCTCCCTAACTTTCAGTTGCTTTACTTGCAACTTCTTTTAATACGTTATAAATTTACTAGAATATCCAAGAAACTCTTGGCCAGTGTTGACAAACACTCTGATCACCAGACTCAGAAAAATGATTTCCTAGGCATTGTCCTTATTCAATATGAAGAGGAGGAAAAGGTGTAAAACAACCTTTCACTCTATCCCTGCCTAGTCTCCCAAACAGAGCATGCAGACAAAAGCTTAGAAAATGTGCTGGATCAAAGAACCCTGAGGTTTGCTGGTCTATATGATTGCCAGGTAATTATAGACTCAGCCAGGAAGACTTTACCTCATTATCTTTCAATTCAATGCAGCCACATTTATTTTCAGAACTTGGAGATGACAATGTTTTTGGCACAGCTGAACTCCTTGGCTTTAAGGGATATACCTATAAATTTATACTAAACGATCCATTGCAGAAGTATCTTTCACTTGAGCAAGTAATAAAAGCAGGACAGAAGGGAGAAGAAATACTTCGCCAGTCCATTTTAGAGTATTTAGAAAAAGAATGATGAAAATTGAAACTGTAGAGGTCTGATCAATGTCACAGACAGGAAGGCACGTGCTCCAGGACAGTGTTTCTCTACTGTCCTTCTATTTTCCTCAGCTTCATTTGAGGGAACTGCCACAGTACTGTGCCTCTTTGAGGCCTCACAGCATCACCTGTGAGGCACTTGTGCTTCATCACCTGTTTTGTGGGTACAGACTTCATTCCTTTCTTTCCCTATCCTCTTTTGTTTCCTTGCCTTTTGCCTCAAATGCTTTTGAAATGCTCAAAGACTGTTTTATTTGGAACAAATAACAAAGTTAACAAAACTCTCTCACTGGGCAAAACATTCAAAAGCCTTAAGCCAAGTAAAATAAATGCTCACCCGTAATAATAATGGGTTAGGTTTTAATCCTTCCTGCTTCACATGCCCTGTGCAAATATCTGTATTGTCTTAAAACTCTTTAGATCACAGTGTTTTCAGTCTTGTAATTACAAGGTGTTGTTTTCTGCTTTCAATCTTCTGGAAAGGAATCATGTTCATCAACCATTTGGGACAAGGGCAGTGCCTAAATTCATGTCATTAAATCATTTTTCAAACTTATACTAAAACATTTTCACTTACCTATCAACCCAGTGGTATAGCCTTGTTGCTGTAGAAGTCTGGCAAAAGTTGTTTCATTTTCAGGGAGCCCTCCTGACCCAGCATTCCACTGCAGTGCTCGGTATTGATTGCTGGAAGCCATCCCTGATAGAAATAGTTCAGATCACCCCTGATGGTCTCATGCTCTGCTTGCAGAGGCTGGGATGCTCCTGTCAGCCCCCCAGGTCAGGTGCTTAACCTACAGCCAGCAGAGTTCCTCACTAAATGTAAATTTAGGCATATCTCAAAGGTAGGTGCATCCCATTAGAAATAGCACATCTAAATTCAAGTGTTATTTTTCAAAACAAATGCTGCCTAGTGCTAGATTTACCATCAAGCCGAAAATTAATTGGTGGGGAGAGTTTATAGAGTATACAGTAGATTCTCTTTTCCGCTTTTCTGAGTATATGTTATCATTTGGCCTCTCTGCTCCTCATCTAAAATGAGAGATAATTGCATTTCCCTATCTCAGGGGGATGTTGTGTAATGTTAGGTGAGATATAGCTCTCTCAACGCATTGATTTTCCACTTAGCTCTCCTAATGTAAGCACCTCATTCTCCTATGTAACTCCTACTGGGAGATATCTATTAAGTCTTCCAAAATGTGTCTCAAGTAGGTGGTTAATGGATCCAGTATCCCATTGTCACTTCAGTTTTGTGACTTTCTGCACTATCTTGGCTATGAACTTCCACACTTCCCTCTTGGGAGCCTCGTTTCAACCTTATCTCTAACCATCACCATCAAAATGAATTCCAACAGTTCAGCCCTGGCTGTGGTGTACTAAAGAAATGACAAATGGTACTCTTGGCATTTCCCTATAGCCATCTATTTTCATCATAAAGATTTTCTGAATCCTATAAAGTAAGCTGATGTCAGCTGGTGAGGCAGTGGTTTCTGACTGTAAATTACTTACAGAAAGTTACAGACACTGGCTATGCACTTTCTAACTCAGAGTGAGGAATTAACTGAATTCTCCTCCATTCCTTCTTATTAGCTATTATCGTCCCTCAGCTCTGTACATTAGAAATCTGCTGTTCAAAATGGGCCCAACCTGATCTGATGGGGTATCTGCCAGTGAGAAAAGCTGCTCTGCTTGGAGTGCAGAGCGGAGCTGCAGCAATGTGCTGAGTAAGCTTCACTCCTTCTCTTGCCAGGCGGTCAATGTTTGGGGTCCTAAAATAAAATTTCAATTTTTAAAAGAAGTGTCCTGAACTTTATTTTTACAATTTTTGTAATTTTAGTTTAAAAACAAAACTAAAATGGAAACACATTTATATAAGGAGGGTAATTTTTTTTATGCCAAAACTCCTGCTGTTCTTTTTTTTTTTTCAACCCAGTTAGATCCTTAATTTCAGAGTTTATTCAGTCAGTCTCCCAGAGCACATAGAGCTACTGGAACCAAGACTTTCTGCATCATGCTTTTAAACGCAGTGCTTATTTCATAATAGAGTGATGTAACATTACATAAAACTTATATTTTAAGATTTTGCATAAAACTTTAAATAGTTAAATTTTATGAGCCTAGCTCTCCCAGGTAAATGGACTACAGCAGCAGAAAGAGTTGAAATGGATACTGGAAAAGCACAGGGAAGTATGTATGAAATGGAATTAATAATTTCATGAATGAGAATGAGAGAAAATTTTATTACTAAAATATGTAATTGGAGAGTTAGCAAATGGGGGGGGGGGAGGGGGAGGAAATAGTAGAAAAAAATAAAAAACAAAATGAAAATATGATGCTTTTTCCCTTTCACTGTGCATTGTTTATTTAGGCTCTATTCCCATGTGCATAGAAACAACAGGTACTTTAATGTACCAATTACTGAACTACCTTGAACTACCTGAAGTGCCTTGAATTAAGAATTGCTCTTATTTTCTTGTTAGGTTTAATTACTCAGGATAGATATTCTGTAGTGTAAAATATATTTTTCTGAGACATTTTTTTACCTTATGGTATTGTTCCCATAACATCCTACATCTCCAATGCCGAGATCATCAGCCAGAAACAAAAGTATGTTGGGTTTAGAGCCCACAGCTGTGCTAAAGCCAAATGTATTCCAGAATAAACATGAAATCAGCACCATTAGGAAGCGTCTCCTGAAACACAACAAAGTAACTGTTTAAATCTGGGACTCTGAGAGTGGTTGTGAGCCCTCAGGCACCAGATGGGTAGTATTAAAAACAAATCAGTGGGAAAACTCAGTTTCCCAGTCTCACTTTAAGTGGAAAGCAGAAGGCCAGAGTTTTAATGATTTCATTTCTTGCATTTCTACCAGCCACATCACTGTAGTCAGACAGGTTGCAGTAGCCTTTCTGCTGACATTCCAACATGCTAACACCCACATACTGCTCAACTGCATTTAGTATCTGGTAAAAGGAGAATTTACATTTTTACACATAAGCACCAGACTTTTTCAATAAATACACTTAGTGCATTTGAAGCTAAGCATTTTGATGGACAGAGGGCAGCTCAGTCTCTCGCACAGGCTGAGAATTCTGCAAACCATGCCAGGACTTGCAGTTGTATTGTAAGATCTTATATAGAAAAACATATTTTTGAATGAACAAGCAACCGCCACCTCTAACAGGCAAATACAACATACAGGATTTTCTGTAAATAGAAGAGAACTCCCAGTTGTAAATTAGTAACTACAGTTACTATGGGAATTTAATCACCCAAGAGCAAAGTTCTAGCTTTTTGATTTGTTTTGTTTCTTGTACATTGTACTTCTCAGTTAAAACAGTGATTTACAGAGTTGTGATAAGGTCTTGCTTGTAGGAACAGCACAGGTATTTGTGATCTCTATACTTGGATTAATCATTTTAAATAAAGGAGAATTTCCTATTTGCCAGTGTAACATCTTGCAAAAGTTACAGAACTGGCATGATGAATCTTTCAGAGTGATAATGCATTCAGTTAGAGGATCAGGGGAAAGATCTCTAAAGAATGCTAGAAACAAGCAGCCCCCAAATGCAGTCCACTTGGGCATTCTTTCCCTGCTGAGGACAAGAGTACTTCTTCCCATGAATGAAATGAAATGAAAACGAAATAAATGATGAAATCTGTTTTACTTATGTCTGCAGCCCCATCCTAGCATTTTGTTTTTCTGGGTATTTGTTTTCATGGGTATTTGCTGACCCCATGGTGGGACCCAGCACTGTGGATTTATATAAGGTCAAGAATAAATTCCATCTCAGGTAACCTACTGCTTATAGTTTCATGTCCATATTCTAATGTAATGTAGTATTACAGTACGTTATAAAAACAAACAGCAACAACAACAACCTAAAATGATGCTTAGGGCTAAAAGCGTCACCTTTCAACAATATTTGGAGGAAGAGTGAAAGAATGTTTCACTACAAAACACTGATAAAGCTTTAAAGCAATAACGGTGAAAGAATACAAAACATGTATGTACATATACATAAACTTTTTCTACCTATAAAACTGCAGATTCTAGAAATGATGACATAGCCAGAGGATCCAATTTGGGCAGATATGTTGTTTAAAAACATGAGTACATCAAATAAGTCAAGATGGTTCTAAAATCATTTGGCAGCTAGTATTAATAGGTGATTTTACATCATCTGTCTAATGAATCAGAAAAGTGTGAAACATTGCAAAAATACAGTCTACTAAGTACATACTTTTTATTTACAAGTTGTAATACAGAGTTACACCCTAGATGAGCACCCATAGCTTTAGTGACAAACAATGATCTTCCAAGCACAGGTTAGAAACCACTGGCACAGGTACTCAGATACTGAAAAGTCTACTGAGCTCTTAATGTTTTGCTCCTGTCCTTGCCTTAGAACTATTCCATAAGGTGATACTCCAATGTTTGGTGGACACCTCAAGAAGTACAGCACCATGATATTATAGCAGACAGGTCCTCCAACAAAGTTTTACAAGGAAATTATATCTATATGGGAGCCTGGCACCTCAGAATACTGGTACAAGGGGCTGCACAAAGGGAGAGACCATTTTATAACAGTGTAGAATTCACATTCAAGAAGGAACAACAACAAAAAAAAAAGTGAGGAAGAACAACAACAATATGATTTCTCATGAAGTTACATTTCCTACATGAGGGTAAGGAAGGGAAAAAATACAGAGCAAACAAAGCATTGGGAAAAATGTTTCACTTGAACCCTGGACTGCTTGGAAGAAAGGGTGGGCCAAGTCAAACAACGTATGCTTAATTCTGCCAAGTACAAATGAATACATGAAGGGAAGAGCCAGAAATTTGTTCACCTGAATAGAATGGCAGCAATGGCTGTGCAAGGTAGGACTGCAATCATCTCCTGGTAGGCAGTGATCCTGAAAATAATAAATTGAGTATAGTCACTAGCATGATGTTATAGTAAAAATATAACTCAGCCAATTATTTTATCTCTGTACAAGAGAGAGACCAGTGAGGTGATTTTACATCAAAGACAGGAATGGATAGGAATTGTACTGTTTTTCTGACCAAAAGGTGACAATTTTCAACATGAAGTTTAAAAACTGGAGAGAGGGCAGAAAAAAAAGCCAACACCATAATTCAAGAGTCAGAAAAGATATTTTATACTGAAAGAGCACTAGAGCTTATTCAAGACAAAGACAGCAGGAGATTAATTAGTGCATAAACCCTTGCGGAGAAAATAAAGGTTCTAGCTGATGAGTTTTGCTGAGACTGAGACAGAATTTGGAAGCTGGAGCATGCAAATACATATGCATGATGTCTGTAGTCAAGGTGATTTATGCTATAATGCTTCCAAGGAAAGAGCAATATGATTGACAATGAATGCCTAAAATGGAAGAAAATAAAGTATTGTAAAGAAACCAGTTATGGGGCTCCACAGAAAGACAGTCAGATGAAATTTAAAATTTTATCAGAACAACAAACACATCTGTGTGCCCGTGAACCAGCAATCAGTTGTTGGCATTACAGATAAAGTTCACTGCATTTTCCCAAGCAGATACAAGACACCTTTTTAAAAGCTACCTGACAGAGCTCCAGTAAAGCCAGTTTGAACACTCTCACTTAAAGTGTTCAAATAACCTGAGGATAACGGCTCTATACTTCAGGAAGCTTCTTTTCATCAAATCTTCCCTGTCTTTATGTCAAGACTGCTCTTAGTGTTCATCCCAATACACCTCCTCAGTACAGAAATTCTTCTGATCCATATAATACCAAAATAATCTTAAAATACTAATTTTATAGAGTGCCTCATCTTTGCATGGACAAAGGGAAATCTGATGATACTAAATTATTTTCAGTAGAATTCTTCCAGGCAAAGAATGACTACAAGTCACAATGCAGTCCCCAAAGTTTAACTGAACCAATAAATTATGAGGCTATTTACTAATTGGCTTGAAAATAGTCATTGATGTTACCACTTAATTTCAGCTGAAAAGTTCTGAAATGTCATTATTTACTAAAAACTTAATTAAAAAATGTCATTATTTACTAAAAACATTTACAATCGGAAGTATATTCCCATCAGTTTTTCAGCCTAGTACCTCCCACACAGAAGGTCATAGGACACTACAGAAATTCAGTCTAAACACTTCTGCTAAACGAAGCCAAATCCTACCGAGCCATAAGCAGTAGCAATAGGCCAGCCCAACTCTGTGTGGACGAATTTCACTCCATTAAACATTTTTAATTGTCTGTAAGCATTATCCAGAACTTGCCTTCTTCTGAAAGAGCACATTTCATGTGCATATTACACGACTGCCATAACACTTTTTTTTCTCCAAATTTATCAACCATTAACAGTAGTTTAATTGACTTAGAATGCAATTCATTCAACTTGAAATCTTGGTTTATCAAGTGGTTGGATTTGTAACAATTCCAATTCCAAACAGGCTTATATACCTTTTTCTAGGCACCTTGTCACACTCCACTTTTCTTTAGCTTTGACTACAGCAAGCTGAAAGCCCAGAACTGTGAGAAAATCAGTCCTTCCTCCCTCACTGCATCTTGGCTCCAGGCAGTTCCTCCAGCCTCTGAATATTTCACATGTTGAATATATTCCTAGATTGAAGTCTATCCTTCATAAAATACAATAGAGAAGAAAAAGGACAAACTGCCACTTCAAAAATATCTGCCCATGACCACAAACACTCACTGATCAAAGTAAATTATATCTCATATACCTTCGCCATCTCCAGACTGGAGGGGCCGCTACCACACACCCTTGCAGCTCAAGAGAGCTGAAAGAAACACCTCCTCCTTAAAGATGTTAGAGGGATAATACTGCTTAACCGTCAGGTGAGAATAACTGCTTGCTTTCTGCCTTCTGTAATGACATATTACACAACAGGTTCATCAAGTCCAATCACAACCTAACCAAACTACACTAACTCTAACAACCTTCTGCTAAATCATGTCCCTGAGTACCACATCCAAACGGTTTTCAAACACATCCAGGGACGGTGACCCAACAACCTCCCTGGGGAGCCTATTCCAATGCTTAACAACCCTTTCTATAAAGGATTGTTTCCTGATATCCAACCTAAACCTCCCCTGGCACAACTCGAGGCCAACATGTAATGGGATGTTGGTGGGCAAGTTCAGCCATAGCAGCCATGATGTCAAGGGCCAACGTCATAAAAGAGGGGGAATCACTTATGCTTTACAGTTGACAGTGCTTCAGAGTACCTCCTGGCTTTGGGCTGCCCCCTGTAGCACACACACACTGTATTTGCAGCTGAGAGAACATCAACACAGGAAGGCAGAGGACCGGAGGCAGGAAGGAAGGATGCAAACAAACTACAGGGAGCAGCAAAAGGAGTCCCACAGCTGGAGCAGCGTGCATCACACAGAAGCAATCAGGAGGCAAACTGCACTTGTTTTGCCACTGCAAAACCATGGCACCTCTTGAAAGAGCAATAAAGAAAGCAGATAGCCTGCCCCTCAGCCCCAAATCCTCAAAAGCCTAGGAGGCACGAAGGAGGGAAGGAAACAATTGTTGCTGACCGCTGCACGCTTCTCCAGCCCCACCCACGCTCTTTTTGCCCGTCCAAGCAGTAGCGGATAGCGAATGAAGTCCTTTTGTCCTGTGAGGCCTGGCTGCTCGAGATGTACTGGCCTGCTGGGAAAAGAGTATTGGAGCCTGCCAGGGAAGGGGGGAAAAGTCCATCCCAAGGATAAAATGGAAAACGGAGGCTTTTTTTTTTTTTTTTTTTTAAATATCAGCTCAGCTTTTACTCACTTTGTGCTCACTGCACTGTAAGGAATTAGTGCAATCTTTTCTCAATTTTTCAAAATGTTGTGTATAGATTGAATATGGATTTTTAAAAATACTTGCTATTTTGACAAGTTAGTTTTTGAGACTATTATCGTAGATATTTTTTTGTTGAATTAACCGGTGTTAGGTAATGTACATTACACATCTGTTTGTTTTTCACCCACAGAAGTGGAGACAGCATTAGTATGCATTTTTGTGCTTTGCTTTTATCTGCAGTGTAAGTCACTGTGTCTTTATAGGCTGTTTTGGCATTTTTGTGACTTTAAATCCCAAGCTAAAGGCATTACAGTAAGGCTGCTTTATTGCTAGTCTTTCAAACCAACCAATTTGGCAGGCTGAGTCACAGCAAAGCCTGCAATACCAAGAAAGAGCATTTTGTGATGGGACTTGAGTGCCCCAAAAGAGCTAGTGTTTATGGAAACCTTAGGGTTCCCTTAGCTTTTGGAATGAAGACTTATCACCAGTGGAGCCAGTCTCACTTTTGAAATCTAGGCTTAAAACAATTTCCTTCATTCAAACAGAGAAACAAAGTGCCCCAGAAAAACAACAGTATATTTGCAGAGAAATAAACTTCAACTTTCAGTATATGATGCTGCTTCCCTTGAGATGTGAAATGAAGTCCTTTCCATCATTACTGGTTGTGCTGAAATTTCACGAGCTCTCATCATAACCCTGTTCATGTGTTTTACAAATCAGGACTGAGCAATAGGTGGCAAAGAACAAGACAAGAAAACCCGCAAGACAGGTGATTGCTTTCCAGATGATTGATATCCAGCCCGTGAGTTGTCCTGAGGCAGTAGTGAATATAGTGAAGCCAATCATCTGATTATAAAGCCAGAGCTTCACTCTGAAAGCTTTCATCAATCACAGAGGTTATCTGACAGCTTTTCACTAAGCTGAAAAGCATTCCATAAAATAACCAAACCCATCATTTGAAAGGTGATGACTGCGGTCACTGTGGATTTCACAGTAAATAAACACCTTAATGGTGGCTTTCTGAAAGTATGCATATTTTTAAATGTTAAGAAACAAAATATAAACTTGAGCTTTTCCACCTAGAGTCTGTTAGCCCTTAGCATTTGTTTATTTTTCCTCGATAAAATTCTACAGAAATTGAAGGCCACTCTGTAGCATAGGTCACCCACTAGAAAGAGGTATAAACCACAGTCTTGTACTTGAAGAGCCCATGTTACCAATACAATACAGAATAGCTCATGCATGCCTTTTTTGAATTACGAGAGCTTTGAGAAATAGAAAAGACACCCTGTAATAAGCAAAGGCTGACATACCATTAACGATCTTAATCACTGTCTAGAAAGAGATTAGTGATTTCATAGAATTAAGTATCATAAGTAACTAGTTTATAAATAGTTTATCTTAGCAGTGATAAATAAGAAATAAATACCTAATGGATGTGTTGGCTATCTTTCAAATATTTCCTGAGCTTGTAAGAAAGTAAACTCTGCAGCTACGTCAGATGTTTGAGGTTTCTAAGTATTCCAGTCTTCTGCTGAGAGCAGTAGAAGAGAAAAAAAATAATCCTGTGAACACTGAAGAATACAGATAAGAGAAAAACTCCGAAGCAGTGATAGAATTATTTGTTCTTTATGATAGTAGCAGTTTTCTTAGGGATTACTTTTTTTTTTTTTTGTCAGTACATATAAAAATGCATAATCGATTACAAACTCTTATGTTGTGACACCGAATGGGAATTATGAGGCAATGCTGTGACCTTTCCAGTGTTGCGGTACAGGCAGATGTTGTGTGATTTTTTTCTTATAATCTTATTTTTGATGTTTCCAAATACTATCCTTTATTTCTGATATTTTGCTTTGCTCTCAAAATGCCATTTGTCAGAAGCTTGAGATTGTGCTCAAGTCCAGACATCACAGATGTTAATCCATGGGGTCAGGCAGATTCTGAAAAAGTTGCCTCGTTTTCTCCACGTAAAAGCACATTCTTGAAATACTGAAAATTGTATGTGATCTTCAATTGTATGTGCTGAATTCAAGCTGTAGCACTTGAGAAGTGTGTCCTCAGGTCTTCTTCTTTAAGCTTGAAAGATAGCTTTTTCAATGTAACACATGAACGTTGTACAAAAAGGTTTGATTGAACAGAGATCATTAGACCTCCAGTAACTTAAACTGCACATGCAAATGTTGCTTGTTACTACTGTGCTGAAAGTCTTTTGAGCATCGACATTCAGATTTTAGAGTGTTTGTAGGATGTTCTTCAAATCCAGTCCTTAATACTATTTATATAATCTCAAGCTATGACCAGCAGAAATCCAACTAAGTGAATACTGCTGTGGCTAAATAATAAAAATTGATTTTCACAAATCGTTTGAAATAGTTGTGTGTCAATTTGGAGAGGAAAGAAATATGGACAAACTGACTACTATTTTACAATCTGTCTGTTTCCAATCCTACTGTTGTATGATATGGTGTTCTACAACCATAGTGAGGTGTTTCTCTTCCTGAAGGAGTGAATCTATAAATGGTGCTATTTGATAGTTTTGTAGATTTAATTTGTATTGTCTGAACCAAAGATAGCTTTCCAAAACTCAACTTACACATGTGTGTTTCTACAAAAAATATAGTTGAGTTATAGATGAGTCAATTTATTAGTACAATACTCTTGAGAGCATATGAATATATTTAAATCTTGGGTAAGTAATTATGGCTAGTTCTGATACACATCTTTTGGAAGGAGTTTTAGGAAGGATGACCTATTCTCAATGACTTTCTCTCTGATAGGATTCTTTTTGATTCATTGCTGCTGCTCAGACAAAATTCATTCAATCTCATCACTACTGAGTATCTCTGTACCTCTCATAAGCATGAAACAATCTTGTTCCTTTAGAATTATGGCAGAAGTACATTCAAGACAGTGAGATATTAGCAAATAAGGTATTTCAGAGAGCATGCAACAGGACTGCTCTCAAAAAACACTGGCCAGCTGCCTGGCTCCCACTGGCACCCTCAGCATGAGAATGGAGGAAGCACTCCATTTCACTCCTCCAAAAACTTTTAGATCAAAATCATTCTAGTGCCAGGCTTCATAGAGCTTCTAATAGAGACATATATAGTTAGTTGTTTTTCAGAGCTTTCTAAAGATGCCTGTTTGACAGAATAGATTTTCTTGAAAGAAGGAATTTCAGAAAATGATAGAGTTGTCAAACTGATGGCTATTTCACAGGATGAGCAAAATTTGATACACATCTAACAAAAATCCACTACAATCCATCCATTCTGCCCAGAATTCTGCTGGAGGGAATGAATGGCAAGTCTGCTTGGATTTACTCTCTTACCTCAAGGGATAACTGATTAAATATTTCAGAATAGGAATAATCTATTACAGAAAAATGATTTCCACATCTATTCACATTTCGGTTTTTTTTCATTTTTCTTCCCTGTTTTTTTTTTTTTTTTTTTTTTTTTTAAAGGGTGCATATTGGCAGAGGCTGCCACTGACTTCAGCATGTAGGCTTCGCTTGAGTTAGCAAGACAGGAGTTTATCCTCTCTCCCTTCATGACTCACCACTGAGCGTCCTGCAGAAGGAGAGCAGGAGCCCATCATAAGGGATGCTGAGAGATTCCTAGAGGCAGAACATGAGCAAGAGATTCAGTGACTTCGCTGTGATTTCTCAAAAAACTAATCAGATGGAGGGCCTAGCCCAATTCACAAGCAATTTCAGAGTGAAATAAATGAGGAAGCAACACAGACCAGGTTGAGGTATACAGTATATCTCTATGTGCAGATTTGTCCCAGTGGTGGAAAAGTTTCTGTCTTGATAGCTGTGAGGCTCCCAGAGAAATGCATCTGTCAAGGCCTAACCATGCAATAGTTTGTAGGGCTTTCACTGACCTAATGTTATTTGGTTGAAGAAAGCATGAGCTGTTTATCCAAGCCATCTTAAATACGCTAAAACTATGAGTTATGCAGTCTAAAGGGCTACAGTAACCATCACAACACAGCACAAAATCTTGCTTAGAGGCATTCCTTATCCTTGGAGGCTATTTAGTCAACCTTTTACTGATTCAAATGTGTTTTGCCTAGAATATAAATCATGTTATTTTTTTCCCTTTCATGTCACTATTTCACTCTAGCAACAGTTTTGTTGACACACTTTGCGCAGCTTCAAAGGATCTTTGTTCCTAGGCCCAGTATCCCAGGGCTGCTAACCACAAGCCTAGTGTCAGTAAATGAAACCCTGAGTGATGTAGAAACTGGGAGTAGCAGTATTCACTGGAGCAGTTTCAATCTAATAATAATGTACTGGTTTATAAAAGATATACAATGCCCGCCTTTGCCTTGTTGTATCATGATGTATGGTTTGACTAAGGAAGGCCAAATGCTGTGAACATGAGGACCCAAACCTCAAGGTTCCTGAGCATAGCAGAAATGACTTATTTTACATACAGAAAGAGTTTATAAAACTTACCTTGTGAAGAAGTAAAGCAAACATATTTTTTTTTCTCTCTCAAATTGGCTCCAACAATTACTACCTGGTTTTATTTTCTACTGCAGGGTTGTTGTACTACAAACTCACAGAGGTCTTCCACTGATTGCTTGTTTTAAACCATGTGTAAATAATTTCCATGTACTCTTAATGATTCAAACCTGTGATTAACTGCTACTTGGCCAAGAAAAGAAGTTAACTGACGACTGAAAATAGAGGTAAAAATTACACATTCTAGGATATTAATCGCAAGTACAGAAAAATATCTATATATATCATTTCCGTTTACCATCTTCATATGTTTAGGCCAGCATCTTAGTCCAAATGTCACCCGTATTCATACTTACTTTTCTATTTGAATAACAAAATGTATCACCTGCAGCACTGTTGCCTCTGTTCTTCCTTATGACTGTTCCTGTCTCAAGAGGAGATTGCCCCTGAAGAAGGATGCAGTCATTTGCAGTGAGCATGGATGTGCCTAGATTTAGCCCAGACAGTGTGTTCAGCTCAAAGAGGCACCTGAAGTCCTGTAGAAGGCACTTCATGGCTAGTAAAGTGTACTTTTCACAATAATAAATACTAAAATTCCACCCAGTTCTCTTTCAGGTGCTGAAATGACCTCTGGGGAGCTCACCATTACTACTTTGGATATACATACATTATCAGGGTATCTACTGTCTTTGGCTTGAACTTTCGTGTTCAAAATGTGCCTCCAGATGAGTTAATCCCTTCTTCAGCCTGAGAATGATGCTTGTCTCATGCCATTCCTTCTGGTGGGACACTGGCAGACAACAGCTGTCTGCTTTCATTAGACAAAAATAACAAACCTTATTTTTTGGAAGACAAAAATTATACTTGCACCAGTAGCATGCATGTAAGGAAGACTGGAATTTGAAAATATATTTAATACCCTAGGGCAGCTGAGATAACTTCTCAAATTAACAAATTAGCAAATCTCATCCCTTACAAAGGTGTATCATAACATAGAAGTCTATGTCTGAATTACATGTCTAAGCTCTCACTTTAGATGATAGTCCACAGCAATGCAGCTTACCAAATGCAAATCCTTGCCTTCATTGAAGCGTACAGCTCAATAACTTGAATTTATAAACAAGAAGGCAGAATGTGTTGAACTAGAAGGTCCCCAGGGTTGAAAATTTCTTATTTAACTCCTGTAACATTTTTAGGCTCAAACAGGTCTGTGTTAAACATATGCACCTTGTACTCTACATTATGATACATTATCACAGCAAAGCAATTCCAAGTTCATCACAACTCCACATCTGCCTTCATTCCATATACCTTTCCAAATAAATGTTAAATTACCACAGAGTGTGCTTTCCAACATCATACATGCATGAATGTTAGTAAGGAATGGCTGTAGAAAACATATGAAGCATCAAATGACCCTCAAGAAAACAGGCAGTTTTCTGCAGCACTGTGTAGCCTTCTCTGTAAACAGGAAGAAAAGGATGGAAGATCTGTTTGTTTTAAGAATGCCTGTATTGACCATCCTCTGCCTTCAGGCTTCTCTCATAACTGGGTTAGAATTGCCTCTATGGACATAGATAAAATCATAACAGCTACATTTTGTACACATTCTGTGCACTCTAAGTATGTTAGAGCCATAAACTACTGTAATGTAATTTAAAGACTGCCATCTCTGAAATTTCTTCTCCTGCTGCTGCCATTTTTTTTATAGTGTTGTAAATAGCATTTTTGCAGAATTTACAATACTGCCAATGAATGAGAAACCTCTTAAAAAGCTGACAGTTTTAGATCACTTCACAGCTATTCGTTTAAAAAATAACTACTTAATGACCTTATTCCCAGAATTACGTATGTAAATAGGTTTCTGTCAACTCACAAGTGGCCAGAGAACAAAGCGCTTGTTAAGGAACAATGTGATACTAGAAGAGATTAATGAGCTTCTGCGTATGGATCCTTTAAACCCCCTGCTTTGCAAGTAAGAGATACTTACAGTACTTTAAAAAATCCATGTATTTTTTTCTCAGTGTTCTGTGGATTTGCATGAAAATCAGTTTGGTTGAGCTACTGAGGAATTAACAGGACTGACAAAACAGTTGCGATAAAATTATCCTAATAAACTCATTGACTGCCTGCTCGGATGGGGTCATTGGAGGATCGTCGATGACTAGGAAAACCCTGTTACACCTGCTGCTTCACCCTGTGGGGGTGATATTGATTGTAATTAATTTGCATTTGGTTGCGCCTGTGTGCTGTCGTGCTCATTAAAGAGACCTCTGCCTGATGTTGTTGGTAGTGCAGGTTAAACAACATTGAGTACCCAAGAGGTAACACCCAGTACTGTTAACAGAAAGACTGTCCCAAAGTCCGTAGTCCCAGAACAGGTTAAGCCAATGTACACAGGGCCTCTTTGGTGTGTTTCCTACATTCTTTATGATCTGCAGGATCCCTAATGATCGGCGGCCATGAAGTAAGAACAACTTAGAAAGTTTGAATTGTAGATTGAGTTATTGGGTGGTTCAGAATCTCCCCAGATAGTTTGCTCTTCACTGAAAAGGTAAGTGAACAGATCTCGATGAGTACTGCTATTAATAACCTTTCTGGAATCATATTTTTATAAATGATTGTGTTCTAAATGAGTTTAATGTTGCTTGTGCCACATTAGCTCGGTTTAATTACTCATGAGCAACAGAACAGTACAAACAAGACCTGAATATGATGAGTCCTGTGATGGTCTGTGAGTCAAAAAGAAAAGCATAGCAGGCACAGCAGAAGAGCCATGCCTGAAACTGCTGGGAAGTACAGCATGACTTGTCATGGACTGATTGGCAACATGTGCCAATATGTGCTTATAAAACTCCTAGTAAAGGAGAGTGGGGGCTGGAATGACATTGTTAGGTGGCTGTTTGACAGCATATGAAAGAAGAGGACTGGAGGGGTGATAGTGCTACACGAGATGCCCAGAGGCTGACCTTGAGACTACAGGGAACAAAGCTTTCATTCACCTTGATACCTGTACTTTCATGGGCAAACACCAGTGACCAGTGCCAATTCTAGCTCTTGTACCCTCTAGCCCCAAACAGGCACCCTACAGTGCTATTAAGTGCTCCTATCAAAGAAAAAAAAAGGGTTTAGTTATATACACAGGTCTTAGACTCACATATTTTTAAAGGTATTAAAAAACCAAGGGTGTAAAATCCTTGGCTTGAGAATGGAAGTGAGTCTCAGATCTTGGAAAAAAAAAATTAAAAAACAAGAAATGTCCTGCCATAAATTCTTGTAAAGAAAATGTTGGATATTGAATATGAACTTTAAATCTAGCCAAGAAAGAAGAAGTGAAATCAAATAAATTCAAATATGAAATAAAGTGCATATTCTTAACCATGGAGTAATTAAGCAAGAATCTGGTATACATGAAATGATGGATTCACTTCATCCCTTGAAGTTTTCACAGTAGGACTGAGCGTTTTTCTCAATGAAGTGAGCAGTGAAGGGGCGTCTGGGTGCTCATCTGGGAGCAACAGTCTATGAAATGCATGAGATCACAGCATGCAATACATCATTGCTTTTAAGCTGTAGGACTTTTTATTTGCCTGTAGGTTTCTCAATGGATGAACTGAGAGAAACAAGGAGGCAAATAAAAGCAAAATAAGCTAAATATTTACCAAAGGAGATAAATGAGTCCTAGCCATTTTTAGGGCACCCACATAACTTATGTGACCTGTGCTCAAATGACTTTGTACTTGTGTGACCATCAATATCACTATGCACTTGCTAGTGCTGCTAATGCTGCTAGTGCTGCTGAGGAAGTTGGTTGCAATAGGGCTTTGGAAAACAATTTTTTTTTCCTTTTTGTATTCTCCATAAAAAGAAACTGACTGCAAGCAGAAGACACCTTTCCTCAGAAAGCAGTGGCAGATCCAGCTTATATGTATCCAAACTTCATGCCTCAACTAAGTAGTGACTTCTGATGAAGAAGCCCCAGGCTAACCAGCTGCCATCATCACTGCTGTTGGAGGGACTAGCTACAAGGAAGGAAGCTACTTTTAGAGGAGATTCTATGAGGAAATATTCTGGAGGTAGGAGGAAAAGTTGTCTGCAAAAATATATTACAGGGATATCTAGCATTGCCATTAACTGTAAAAAAGAAAGGAAACCTTAATTCCTGAATGACTTACAAATTCCGAAGCAAAAAAAATGAACCAACCACAACTTCTAAATATACATTCGTAAACAACAAAAGATAAGTTGTATAATTACTGGTAAAAGTCTAATGTTATTACATTTCAGTGTAATTGAATTATTCATTCAGTTGTTAGCGTATGCAAGTTAAAACACGCTCTTCAGATCATACTGTTCTCCCTCCCTGAGAATGTCCAGTCTAAAGACACCTTCACCAAATACTGTGCAACTTACTGGAACTATTCTCAAATAAAATCTCCATTAACAACAAAAACAAAAAACCTAAACAAACAATCCATTAATAAACACCCCCCAAAGAAAATATTCATGATCTAAAACCTTGGGTAACTTCAGTTATTTCCTTTATAGGTCAGCAAGTTTATCATCACTTTCTTTATCACACCAACAGAACGGGAACATCCCACAACAGGGCTGCAGCCACGGCTTCCAGATGATGTTATACACAGACAGCTGCTGTGGGACTGCAGTCAGTGTCCTGCGGTGCTCTTCAATGGCTCTCCCAATCCGCTTGATTACAGTGTCAAAGAGGAGCTCGGTGTCAGCTGACAGAGGCTGGGACTCAGAAGGGTCTCGTGAGAGGTCAAACAGCAGTGGAGGGTCATGATGGGTCACGCCTTCCCCAAAACATGGGCAAAATCCTCTGTCGTAACAAGCCCCAGCCCCGAGTGGACGGAAGTTTGGGGTTACATAATGAGCCTTCCAGACAGCTCCACCTGCCAGGAAAGAAAAAAGGCTCAGAATGATATTGATGGTTATTATCACCAAGCATCAGAGGACTGAATGTTTTCCTAGAGTTTATTTTTGTGAGATGGGTTTGCACATTGGGTCTACATTAACTACTCGATAGAGTTTTGTAATTTCATTTAAATTGAATGACACAAAATATAAACTAATACTGTAAAATGATTTCTGATTTTTCTAAATTTCGTCAAAATTTTCAGCAAATATCACTTATGCCTATTTTTGTTATTTTACATAGACAAGAAGAAAAGATTTGGGGTTTTCATGGCTTGTTCCTTGTTAGGGTAGAAGGACAGACAAAGGACTGAGACAAAGACTTCTGCCTGAGCCAAGGAAGGCATGGATTCTCCAGACCTTGCATTCAAATAGATGGATGGACAAGACCCATCCTGAACTCCAGTGTTCTGCTTGGTACAACAGCTTACTACTGCTTGTGTCGCATACTTAGAAGCCATGAGCAAATACTTTGTCACAAAAGTACAGGCAATGTTCTTTATCATCTTACACATGGAGCTATTTGGAAAGTTTGAATTCCTTCCGAAAATGGGTAAACAAATCTGTCCTACTGTAGACTAAATTGAGGTCTTGGGCAATAATAATTGTACTCACTGTCCTTCTGGTGCCATCGCACAGCATGTAAATGAGTGCCACAGTAATGAAACAGGAACTTGTGCTCTGAGTGCTCAACTGTTCCTTGTAGTAAAGGCATCAAATCCCGGCCATCAATTACTCTAACAGAAAAAATGGAGATCATCAGATTGGGGACAGCTGTTCAGTTCTATATTCCCTCTGGACACCTCTGGTTGGAATTGACAGCTCTGAACAAAGAAGATGCTTGTAGACTATAAGCAGATGTTGAATCTCAAATGCAGAGAAGAGGTGACTGAGCTAGAATGACTTATGTGCCTAGAAAAGGAGCAGGAGTGGAAAAGAAAATGTCAGACCCTTAGAATATATTTCAGAAATAGGTTTTCTATTATATTGAGAGAAAAGGAGGAATAAGGACACTTGTTTGTACCTGTCCTGAGGTACTACTCCTCCAGCCAAATGAACTACTGTGGGATAAATGTCCATAAGGCTGGTAGGTTCACTGATCACTTTGCCTGCAGGTAACACTCCTGGCCATCTAAATATTCCTGGGACGCGGATTCCTCCTTCCCAGCCTCCCATAGCTTTTCCACCTTTCCTTAGAAAAAAAAAAAAAAAAAAAAGCCCCCACATTTTCATTAAAATAAATGCTTAATTTAAAATAAAAAGAAATTTTAGATGAATGCTCTGTATTAGCATAAACTCTCTATCTTATCTTCTTGAGTCTTCCTCTTAGAGTTTACCACTAAGCTCCTTCTCATTAGCACCACTGATAAAGTATTGACTCAATCACTCCTTAAGTTACCTTCTACTCTCACTCCTTTTTGTTGTTTTATAAGCATGTTGCAACATTAGAACTCAATGTGGATAAAATTTTTAGGTATAAAGTGATTTCCCAACACTGTTCTCCTCCTTTGCAACCATATGAAATACTTGCTGCAGTTAAAGCAAAGTTTCAGATATTATCATATTTATGGATGTTAAGCATGCGTAATAACGATTAATTTGTGATCAGTTGCCCCTTAAGGAAGTGCCAGTTTGAAAATCATGGAACTATTTGCACATACTAGTTTTTGCACATTTTTCTATGCATAATTATCAACTCCCAGTGATAAAAACCTGTTAATTCTGAAACATGCAGTCTTACCTAAGCTTTAGTGGTACCCTGAATACTGTAGTAGTTGTTGCTGGGTTGTCACCATCTTACCTCTGTATATTCCATTCCAACCACCCAGCTGCCTTTTGCCTTCTTGTCTCTCCAGCCATCCACCATGATCAGAGGCAAAGTAAACTAGTGTATTTTTTTTCAAACCTTCCCTGTCAATAGCATCTAGAACCTGCCCTGCAAACACAAGAATGCATATATATTTAAAAATTAAAAATATAGTTCACACAATATACCTTTTAGCCTCTGACTTGCAAACATTTATCTATGTATGTATGGTCAATGTTTAAAAGAAAAGTTTTGCAGGACGGAGATTTACATTTGTTATTTCACTGTCTACAAAAGCAAAAAATGGTGATATGCTGTAAATGTTTTTATAATTAGCATTTTAGAAAAGGAGTGCAAGAATGACAGTTACAGACCAGGAGCCTCTACTGTAAAGGAGAGAATTATGTAAGTAAAACGTTATTCAAGGCCTCAAAAACTTAGATTCTGCATTTGCAGAATGGAAAGGCTCACTTGATCAAAGACTCTAGAAAATAAAAAGCTAACAGTGTAAACCAACAGTGACAGATATTAGGACTTTTTTTCTCCCCGCTGTTAATTCTGTTCCTTGTTCTACTCACAGCTGCATTTTTATTATAAAATGCGTTATTACACTTCATTGTGCACAGCTAGACATTAAGTAGCTGGAGCCACTTTTATCTGCTGGTGACTTACCCACCATCCAGTCCATCTCCTCTACATTGTCTCCATATAAGCCATGGCTACTCTTCCCAAGAAACTTCTCTGATGTGAGTAGAGGGGTGTGAGAGTGTAAAAATGAAAGAAAGAGGAGGAATGGCTTGTGCTTATTTCTAAAAAACAGAAATCAACACTTGGTTACTAAGAGCAAGGGTCTCAGTACTTACAGAGCTCAGTCATAATGGAAAATGGTATTATGATTTACATACATATTCCAATAGTAAACTCAGAAACGTCTTACAACGATTTGGATCTGTCTGCAAAATACTGGGGTTTTTTTGTTTTTTTGTTTTTTTGTTTTTTTTTTCCCCATTGAGTCACGCATAGAAAAGTTTCATACTGAGGTTCCACTTTCTGCTATTGCAAACTATCACAGTGGTACTGAAATGAAGCGGTTTGTCACCTGCCAGTGACTTCCCACACAAGTCTGCATGATATAGCTAATTCATTGCTTTTCTTTCCCTTGCTGGCAAACACATTTCTCCTATCATCTGCCATTAAAGAGAACTGGCCCTAACATGGAGCACAGTTGAACCTTACTACTGACTGGCTGCCAGCCTGTTTTGACCCCATTTAGTAGAACTGGCCCCTCAGACAGTTGTTTACCCATCACATTATGTTTTTGTCTAGCTGCATGTGTGACATTTTGTCCTGAAGGATACCGAGAGAAACAGATACTGTGAGAAACAGCTCTACTGAAATCCAGAAAGATTACATTAACTGGCTTCCCTTTGACAACTAAATGGGTAGCTTTGTCAAAAGAAAAGAGATTAAGTTGATTAAAAAGGACTTTCCCCTCATGAACCCATGTTGGCTGTAGCCAATTACTGCACTGTCTTTTGTTTTAGTACTATAGAATCATTATTAGCATATATTACTATTTGTTATTCTATCTTCTGTTAAAGAATATACAGAGACTTCACAGAGGAAAATGCTGTTTAAAAGTTTAAAGACATGCAGAAAACCAGAATAAGTGTTTGTAACAGAAATTCACATTACCTTTCAATAAATGAAATGGCCTCTCTCAAAATAAAAGATGTAGTCCTTTCTGTCACCATTGGCTGCTCAGTGACTTCATGGTTTCTCATTATAATGCAGTTCCAATATCTTACAAATCCATAACTTGAGAACCAGGACACAAAAAAAAGGAGACTAAACAGAGCAAGGCAGGTCACCGTTTTCCAGTGAACAGAAAACAAGCCGGTGAGTTTCCCTAGGGCAGTGGTGAGCGTAGCGAGGGCAATCATCTGAGTATAAAGCCAAACTTTCCTTCTGAAGGCTCTATCCATCTCTGGTTCTTCTGTTGTTTGGCAGTCACTTATTAGTGTAAAAGGCATCCCATAGAAATAATCAAACCCATGGTTCAAAGGGTGATGACAATGGTCATTTCGGTGTTCACAGTTAACACCTAGATGCCACTTCCCTGAAAATACATATTATTAAAAGGTAAAGACATAATATGTAAAAATGAGCTTTTCTTCATTAAAACATTTCTCAAAAAAATGTTTTGTTTTTTTTTTTCTTGCTTCTGGCAACTTCTTCATCCCACAGATACATACTTAAGTATGCATGGATAAAATGGGGTGTATCTTATAACTGATGAACGTTAACCACTGTAAATTATAAATTTCCACCAGAGTTATTGGTTCTCTGTATACATATTCATGTCTTGATCAAGTAGCTATGATCAAATACAAATAAGTCTGGACTATGAAAAGAACTAGATATATGGAAACAATCAGTTTTTCATAATTCTACAAAATGTATGGCCTTCTTGAAGATGAAATGGTATGAAATGGGAGAAGGGGGACCATTGGAAAGCACATGGAAAAATAACACTGTTCTATTGTCTTTTTACTTTCAAGATGCTATGAAGACTCGCTTTCATAAAGTTTTTAATAACTTAATGGAAGGATTTCAGCAAGACTCAGTGATGCATGGTGTGCATCAAATAGCATACATCTCAACAGTGGTTTTGTCAGGTAAACCACAGGATCCAGGGCTTACGCTCAAGAGGTCAAGATTCATCATGAACCTGTATATGTTTAAGTCAGTTTGTTGATAATATTATCTCCATATCCTGAATGAGAATATATATACATATATTTTGCTGTATATTTGTATTTAATCATAAACAGTCAAAGTGTTTTTCTTTTAACGTCTTCAAACATCAAAAGGAAGACCTCATGGCATTTTACAATACCATATGTTCTTTTTTTTTATGATCAGATGTTCACTATTATGATGAATGACACATCAAAATTATCTTTTCCTTCCTTTTTAAGTTTATGCAATCAGACTGGTTAGGTACTTACACAGAAACACAACAAGTCAGCTCCTTTGGCTCAAACACTGAGGCTCAAGAACATCTGAATGAAATGACAGGAGTCTTGTGCAGGAGGTGCAGCTTAATTACTTCTTACAACCTCTAATGCAATGGAGTCCTTGGATGTCAAATTTATAGATCAAAATGAACCCTCAGAATTTTACTGAAAAAACTAATTAAAAAAAAAACTAAAGAACTATGCACTTACTGAAATACATCATCCTAAACAAAGAAAGAAAGTTACTTTTTTTGGATGTTAATATAAAGAAAGGGGAAAGCTATATTCTAGGTGCATGAATTATTTACAGCCAAAATCTATATTCAGTTTACCTCTTAACATAT